TTAAAAAATAAACAATTTAGATTTTCAGTACAAATCGGCAATTTCATGCTTTAACCCCTATTATAAACATCAGTAGTTGTCGCTGGGCTCGGTTCTTGCGTACGTTCCGCCACCAAGTATTGGACTACCTAATGTTGAAGAACCGTCTTTGCATATTTATTATATATATTTTAACTGCCTCCGTGGCCGAACGGTTACCATGCCGGACTGCCACGCAGAGGTCCCAGGTTCGATTCCCGGGCCGGGAGAAATGTTTGTATGGCTTACATTTATTTCTCTCGTGAGTTTGGGTGTAATTTGTGGTTGTCTATGTGTGTCCATGGCACCCGTGACACAGGGTTTCCCTAGTGCGGGGCTATGTTGAGTGTGTGCGTTATAAAAAAAAAAGTCTTTGAATATCATGTGCGTCTACGTATGTATTTAATTATATGTTTGCTGTCTCAGCCACGAGCCAAGCGCTGGTTGGAAAATATTTCAGCGCCAAATTTTCTTATCTCGGGCGAGGGTTTAGGCCATAGTCCGCCACGCTGCCAATGCGGATTGGGGACTTCACACGTTTTCCGAGGGTGAACTTTCTTCTACTTGCAGGTTTGATTACGATGTTTTTCCTTCACCGAAAAAATCCTGGTAAGTTGCGAGTCCGGATTCGAACCCACGGCCTCTGTTTGAGACGCGATAGGTCTAACTGTTAGGCTACCACGGCTATATACTTTAACGTTTGTGTTTGATTTTACACTTTTTAATGTAACGAATTCATAATTTTTTTGTTCTGGTTTTCAAAATGATTTAATATTATTCTTCCACCGTCTCCACATAACTCCAATTCGTTTTTTGATATTTGCACAATTTTATCTGAAATTTATATTTCACCAAATTCCATTTACTAGAATAATTATTTTACCTTTGCATTGTAATTACTGGAGCTCACAAAGACAGACTATATTTACCTAAATGTCACAGTGGTAATCTCAATATGCAATTTCGGAATTATTGAATTGTAATTTGTATTTATAACTAGCAATAACTTTTCCATGGTTACGTTCTTAATTGTTGTTGCTTTTACTTTTAATAATTTCGAGATAGCAGTTGGAGGTATTATTCACTCTTCGTGTATTACTTGGAATTTAGGTAAATATTGATTGCCTATCACTGGAAACGAAAACATGGTTTAATGGCGGAAAATACTCATAAAATAATACAACAGTTTAATTCGTGCAATTATTTTAATCCTTAAATCGACGTATCGCATAAAAATTTATCTGTACACAGATATAATTTAATTTTATACTTAAAAATACATTAACTATTTTATGATTTGGATAGGCGAACGTCAGTCGTTTTGAAAGTGTTGGCATTACTTGATCATTTTCAAATTGTTTACAAAACTTAGATGCTCAGTTTGTACTTACAACAATAGAGCGTGTAACCGTTATACAAGAAATCACATGCAAGTACGACGTCTCACCCGCTTACAAGTTAATAGACAGCAGAAACTTGCATCGTGCATGCAAGATAATGTTTCCGCTGACTGCATTCCAAGCTCCTTACAACTGCATCCCAACCGCTATCTTACTTACATTTGTGATTTAATCATAAAGCTGTTCGAGTGACTTAAATGGCAAAATGCGTAACTGACATAACGGAAATGCGCCCTTTTGACTACCTCTAACATTATTAATACAAAGATCAAACACATAGAAAAATGCCCTCGACCCAGTGGGACTAGAATCCACGATCATGCTGCGCCGTAGCATTGCTCTTACCAACTGAGCCACAGGTCAAGGTGCTGAACTGTCAAAATTCTCCTATTTACAGTCAAGAGCATATCAAGCTTGATACTTCGTACTTTGAACCGTTGTTATTGCAAGCACCATAGAGTTGAATTTAAATTACTACTATACTTTTAGTACTATACTTTTTCAAAAATCTGTCACTAGATGTCACTAGCGGCGACGAATGCCGTAAGCCAGTACAAAGATGAAAAGGTTGAAAACGCTAATGTGTAACAAAATAGGATACTTCGGTCCACAAAAATGTATTCCATAGTTAAAGAAAGGCAGGTTGTGTAACAAGAAAAGTAGGTTAAGAACTGGTAAAAGAATCAAAATTAGACGCAATTAAAAATTACAGCCAAACTGCTCGCTACAGCGATTGAGCAGGGAGTGACGACGAAACGAAACCAAATAAGAATGGTGAGGCAAGGGAATTAAAGAACGATTCAAAATTAGAAAACCAGTGACCAGGAACCAGAGAAAAGGTAATAAAAAGGTGGGGTGACGTTGTAAGGAGGTCACATCGTCACAAAGATGTAACAAAACACAATAACGAAAACACAAAGGAGAATTTGGAGAGCTCGGTAACTTGACATGTGGCTCAGTTCGTAAGAGCAATGCTACGGTGCAGTATGGTCGCGGGTTTAAGTCCCACTGGATTGTAGAAATTGTTCTACGTGTTGGATCTCTGTATTAATAATCATAACAAAACTAGTGAAGTAATTTAAAAAAACCTTAACAATATATATACCTTTAACATAAAAAAAAATTAAATAGCAAATAATAATTTTTTTTCAAAAATACACACATAAAATTATAGCAAAGATGATAAGGAATTTGAAAGATATTACAAAGAAAAAAAAACAGGGCAAAGAAGTCGTGCACCTTCGTTAGCGACACGCCTATCCATAGCAGTTGCAGTGCCACTCAGAGCTTTAAATCGTAAAGATCATTGCCACTGCGCCCGTCACCCTGAAACTGAAGTTGACAAGTTCCATGCGCCTGTAATTTCACCAGAACCCTTACCCTTCAAAATCGGTATGCAGTAATGCTCACATTACTGCATGGCGGCAGGAATAAGTACGGTGGCAATACTAAATTACTCTGAAAATACAAAAATTCTAATTTTTTTTTTTGAAAATTACAAATAAAATATTATTTACATAAAAAGGCCTAGGCGTTCAATTTGCACATGAGATTTGAATGCTATAAGGCTCTGTGTACGTATAAATACTTAAAACGTCAACGTTTTCAATTCAATATTTAGGATCTGAGTCGGTCTCTGTGGTTAATAACTATTGATAAGATAACTTTAGTCCTGGTACATACATTCTGCTTAGACACTGAAATCAAGTAATATCAACACTATATACAAACTCAAGTAAACCTATAAACTTTAACACTATTGTTACTTAAACTTTAACACAAACAATATATATGACAATTTTTCAACTCTCGTAAATGATTTCCAACTTGTAGAGCATGTATTATCAATTATTATTTATTTAAATAGACTTAGAAATTTTAATTACATAACGTATAAATTATACTTATTTGAAACGAGAAAACAATTTGAACGTAATACTTGCAACAAAGTGAACAAAAAGCGTTCGTAAAGCCGATTACATTTTTACTTTATTACAAGTTTAGGTCCCGTGTTTTTTTACACAACAAAGAACAATAAATACAGCAGAAGTGCTTAGAGGACGCGGTACGTGTGCCAACAGTACGTGAAGTTACACATACTTGAGCTCAGTCCGCTATTTTCGCTTTGTGCGTTATGGTCGTGTCAATTATCGCACCTAAAATTTTGAAAATCGTGGCAAAGTTTTGCTACTTTGGAGTGCAAAAATGATAATCGCGCCTGTAATATTATCCATGGTGGTGTTTCACATCAGCGTTAAGTCTTATTTTATTTAATTTTAATGAATTTCTATTTTATGTTCATGGTTATTTAAAAAAAAAAACAAAGTAATCCTTATACCTCGGCACTGAAGAACGTTGAAGAAAGATGGCGGCACATGGAATGAAATTTCAATATAAAATCAAAACGTTGTAACTTGCAATAATACGTATTTTCAACGATATGCCAACTGAAAACATTTAAATTATATTAACACTCCAAAGTTTGTTACTTCTTTTTAAGTTAGAAACTATGATCAAAATCATTATCAAGATTTCGTGAGTTGTTTATATGAGTTTTGGCGACAGCGGTTTTAATAGTAATCGAGAGTTAAGGCTCTTCCATTTTTTTGTTCTACCGTGGTTTTTACAATATATTTCAAACTAAAGATTTGCTAGAGTTTGAACCAGTAAATTAGACTCTATCACCAAATGTACAATTCATATCACAGAGTCACGCTAAACTGGTGACATTTTATTCAGTAAGCCATTTCGCAGAGAGATATGACATAACTGTCGTCGCTTAGGACTTACTACAACGTTATATGAAAAAGGACACCGAAGGGATAGGTCTTTGAAAAAGGCATTTAATTTTCAGAAATAGGCATTGACTTACAAATGAAATAGGAAACAAATTGTTATATGGTACGCATATTCCTGAGAAAGTCAGTGTTAAGAGGTAATAGGTTAATAAATACGATTGTAACATAACACCATGTGGCTTACATGTTGTTCGACTTTGATCAAAGTTGTCTGGCTCGCAAAGTTACCAAACAGAGGGAATAGTTTCAGGGTAAATTATAACAGTTACTGGACTTGCACAATATCTTAATACTCAAGCACTATGTCAAAAGCAGGTGGCAGAGTTTCCGTAAATGTTTATTCTGAATATTATTTTCAACCACATCCAAAGAAAAACGGAACTGAGAAAAGCATATCTGAATCTTTATTATTAATAACAAAAGCACCACTCCACGGTAATTCATACTTATACAATTTACTTCACTTATAAGTCACAAAGTTACTCTTAATTTAAACAAAGAAATTGCAGCTCCAACATTTTACAATTCAGCTAAGTAACAACCTACAAGTTGGAAAACTTTCTGTAGAACAATAGGAAAGTTTCAATTAATATCACAGTTTCCGTATTTAAAAGTAGGACATTACAAACTTCTCTACTACGAATCCGATATATTTACAGTTCAGTACGTTTTACTAGAAACAGTAAGTCCTCGATACATCTGAACACTGGCCTGTATCCTGTTGTCACCCGAAATAGTACTGAGCGTTGGAATATCGATATAAACTTCTCGTGTTTGGGTCCGATTCAGGAACTTGCATTCTTGGTAGGGTCTTAACCGCAACACCTCGGCCTAAAGTGCCATGTGGCATAGTTCGAAGAGGCATTTCTATTGGAAATTCGGCAACCTGACCGTACATGTTGGTGCTGACGTGGGGATAGGTATTAGGGACTGGTCGGCCTACGTAACGATTGATTTTGGGGCTTACTGTAACGTTAGTAAATTGCATTTCTGGTTTGCATGCTGAGTCGATTGCATCAACAGGCCCAGAAAGACTAGTGATGTTTATGTCATTGTCGACCTCTGATATGCTGTCGTTAAACCCGTTGGGAATCTCTGTCGTCGCGGAGACGTCTGGTCCTTTAGGTTGGGTGCTGCCTTGCTTGTGCATGACACAGCGAATGATGCCAATAAGGGTGCACAGAAGAAAAGCTACCGCCACTGCTGAGATGATATAGACGTACATGATGTCGAATTCTTCTGTTAGGACAATAATAAAAATACATTGTTTATAACTGAAGTATTTGTTTAAACAAAAAGTATAAAGTTTCTAATATAAGACAAACATCTAAAAATGTCTGAACAAAAAATTAAATATTTTTTTTATTGGGATTTCAAAACATGCATTAACAGATTTCTCCTATAACTGTTACAATAGATACGTAAGTAATCACACTATCATGGACGATTAACTAAAGAGGGCTGCTAATTGCGACACAAGCCATCGTAGTTGGGTCCTTAGTACCTATTGGTACACCAGATGTCGAGACTAGTACCAAATAGCTATTTTTGTAACTAATTTGTTTTACATTAACAAGCTGCAATTTATCAAAGTTACTCTAATTTCTAGTCAGATGTATGTTATTGGAGGCTGGTCTGGAAATCCTTGGGGAGGCCTATGTTCAGCAGTGGACGTCTTCCGTCTGGTATGATGATGACAAAGTGCAGTATTTCATATACATTCGTAGGATATTGCCATAATTGTTTAGATTTAGCGCCATCTATCATCATCATTAATTTATAACTTAGTTTGTAACACACAATGCCATTTATTGACACGCATGGTTATCAAATTTTCATATATTTCATATTAAATAATAATTCATTGCTATCCACGGCCATTTACATAATATAAACTATCCCAGACTATTGATCAGCGTCAGTCTAGATATAAGACATAATTTTGATCTCTTTCAGAGTTGCGATCTGTAGTGTGGAGGTTAGCAGTCCTATTAAGTTATTGATGCATGGTGCTACAGAGGTTTTTGCATATAAAAGAGTTAGTAATGCGATCAAATGAACAACTAAACTTACGATAACTTCTTGATTGCTTAAGTAGATGTACGTGTTAACAGCGTTTGTCTATAATAGACAAAACAAATATAACATACTATAATACAAATGACTATACTGATGTTTGTTTACTCAGTCGATAAGGGTTTTACGACAGCTAATGTATTTTCAACTGCCATAAATTACACGTTCACCCACGTAAAGTACTTTCTGAAGGGATTGGATTTAGCTCTCTTGGTTATAATTTGTCGAGACTTGTGCGTATGGGAATTTGTGTACAATTTGCATAGGCTCGTATATTTTGGTTTAACGTTTAAAGTTGTACATATGAACTTTAAATTAGGCACTGACTGTTATTCAATCGATATGAAATATTACAAAGGAGCAAGGAGTGCATTGTTCTTTGTTCTTTGGCAAATGTTTTTCAAAATTAATTGCATTTCAGAAAATCTACGCCTGTAAAAAAACCGAATGAATATTTTCCTTTAACTTCCTGATTCTTTGAATTAATACATTAATGTTCTTTTTGTCAAAATTTGAAAGATTCCATTGTCAAATAAAAAAAATCGTGTCTGACTAAATATAAATTGTAAATTGCCACCTCTATGTGTCACGTATATGGCAGAATTTCTATTAAGATCTTGAATTTCAGTATACGTGACGTAATTTCATTCAATTGTAGCTGTAATAGGACGAGTACCCTTGTTTGAATTCCCATTTAATAATCAAAGGATTATTAGGCAAGCCAGCTTAATACATTTATAGTACTACCTACACATTAATTAATTTACTCGTTAACATCACATATTATACAGGTGTAAAATCATAATGGGTGGTATTATGCGTGTAATCATTAATGTAACATGGACTCTTATTTTATATATTTCGATTTGTGTATAGGTATTGGTATCTATTTTGTGGGTTGGTTTTTCGAAGCAAAATATAAGTACGTATTTGAAATAACAAATAACATTTGGTTAGTAACTACTAACTTAATTAATTTGTTTGTAAAATTAAAATATTTAACTAAAAATATGAAAATCAACTTCGATGTGAACTATTGCTAAATAGGAAGAATTAAGAAATAGCATTCGCCTGTGAACTGGCAATCGGTACTATCTCAATTTTGACAACTTTACAGGATGAAGAAACAATTATTTATTTAGCATCTGGTTTATTAAATAAAAATACGTAGTGTACATATGTATGTACACTACGTATTTAACTAGTTATTTTGTAACTACGTATTTTTAAGTAATAAACCAGATGCTATATAAATGACACAAACGATTCATCCTGTAAAGTTGTCAAAATTGAGATAGTACCGGTTGTCAGTTCACAGTCGAATTTTTGGTCCAAGCAATTTTAAAACTATTAAACTATCAGCTATAAGCATATCTATGTTTATATGGTTATTTGTAAAATATTAACATCATTCACAATAACTCTGTTCCATGACTTCTTCAAAACATTATGAATTGAAAAAATTAACCTTTTAAAATTTTGTTGTAATATCTGACGCTTTTTATACCTGTGCCTGATAGTAAGGTAGTAAGTTCAAACGAGCATGCGTCCTTAAGGACGACCCCCACCCTTCGTGTATTTTGCACAGAGCTATCACAGTTTAGACCGCTCTGTTAAAATAATACGATACCTCACACGTAAATTATTGTAAGTCAAAATACCATTTTTTGGTGTTTAACTTAAATATATTCTTGTTTATGTAAATTATAAGTATATTGTTTAAAAGTAAATATAACACTAAGTGACTTCTTTACATTTAAATATGGAACCTATAATATACATTAAAAAAAGGATATATTTAAGTCAAAAAGCAAAAAATGGTATCTTGACTTAGTACAACTTATGTAGGAGATAACATATATTGTTATTTTCGTATGATAGTAAAATGTGGTGAATTATTAAGAGTCATGGAACAAAACTTGTCGTTTATGATGTTAGTAAAGTAGTTCTGAGAGGTTAGTATTTTACCAATAAACCTGTGTAATTGTAAGTTTTTATGCGTAGGATTCAAACAAAATTAGTCTGTGTAAATATTGCTTACCTTCTTTAGGCGCTTGTTGCCTAGGTGGCGATATAGAGGGTTCACCTTTGTTGGTAGCATTGATACTGGTAGACATTGAAGGCCTCTGTGGTGGGACAGCAGCCACGGCTGGAGCTGGTGGTACTGCAGACTCGCCCCACCATCGGTCGCTTGACTCATCTGAAAAGAAAGCGAATGTTAAGACGACATTTATTTGAGATCTACTTCAGAAGCGCTTCTGAATATTGCGAGATTTTCAACTTTAGAATGAGGACATAGATAACGTTTTGCAATGACATGAGGAGAGATTCATAACTGTCTATAGACGCGGGGCTAATTTTATAATAGCGCCATAATCATTTATTACATTACCCGATTTCAAGGCGCCTTAACTCTGGGTGTAATAAGAGTTTGAAAATTAAGGTCCGTAATTAACAAACTATGTTATATATGTATATATTAAACGCTTATTTCTGTACTCAATTTTAAGCGACCTCCCTACCTAAATCGTCCCAATGAGGGACTCGAACTCTTATCACACCTCACTAAGTTAGATTTAGGGTCCCTTGAATTCGTATAGTGTAATAAGCGTTATAATCAGTGGAAATAGAAAAATCTGGACCCCCGAGAACTTTACCTATTTACAATAAAGCGAAGCCTGCTGATCATGCAGCGGCGGTAGTCTATGAGTGTTGCGCGACTAGAATGGCATAATTTGCAGTAATACTTAACTGTACTCGGTAAGATGTTCGAGCGAGAAGCCTCAAGTTAGCGTCTGCATATTACCTCCAATGAACACTACGCCAACTTTATTTTTTAGTAATTTTCTGTTATTTTTGTAAACAGCCACATTTATTTACTAATATTATATATATTATGCTCCTCGAAGTTTGTAAAAAAAAAATCGAAAATAAAAACAAAAAATACGAATTTTGTGAAAAAAAAAAAATAAAGAAACAAAAAAACAAAACAAGTCCAAAATATAAATTGGCGTAGTGTTCATTGGAAGCATCGATATTATAAGTGTTTTATAAGTAAACGGTAAATACTTGATTTTTGGAGTACTACTTCCAACTTTTTAGTGTATTTTTAGAAAGGAGAGCCTTTGTCTGTGCCTATGTACCTGTCCGTCTATATACCTGTCTGGTAGCTCCCCAATGGCTGGACATATATTTTTTTATTTGAAGGCTAATTTATACTGGATGGTTCTTAGTTATGTTTCATTTTTTTTTCGAACGTCTGTTCAGTCGTTTAAATATTTTATTAACTCTTTTCCTTGTTAGTATAGGGGTCTCAGCCGTAAAATTAATATTTATTTTACTACCACTTGTCTGATAAGATATAATTATAAAATTCGGAAGTCCGATAACATTGTAATAATACGTCAATTTTAAGCTGCTACTGGAAGCAGAACAGTTTGCCGTTGTAGATTAAGATCAAGTATGGTAACTCCATATTAAGAGTTCATACAACTTCAGCTCAAATAAATTTTTTTTCCGTACTGAATCGGTTCTATTGCGCGGGTCGAGTGGCTGGGATACTGGATTTATTTCAGAATTTATTTTTTGACAAATGAAATTAAAGCCATTTGAAAAATGTATATCGTGTACTGTATGTATTCTATTTAGTTCAGGAGATATAAAAAAACGTTGTTGTATATAAAATACCTATTGAATACAGCGGTTTTCTTGTAAAATTTCGATGTACATATTTTTTTTCTATCGTGAAAATTTTTAGGAAACCGTACCGTTTTTCACACCGTACATTAATCAGTGTATATCCTCAACTTTACTATATTTTTTTTTTCAAAATGATTTTTTCAATACTTTACTTCACTGTTATTCCATCACGATGCAATCGAATCAACCAAAGCTATTTGAGGTTTTACCGGCTCTCGTAGCGCAGCTTGTATGTGTCCCGCCGCGCGTCGTGTACGGAGGCACACGCTTGCATAACCTAAAGGTGTTTTCGCGTTGCACGACACTGGGCGTCTTAACGCACATTTCATTATTATGCGAATGTGTGCATCCGTACACGGTTGCGAGCACATACAAGCCGCGCTGTTCTTATTCTACTATGGTAAAACTGACGTGTTTGGGCTCCTTAAATTAGCCTCGATTGTGAGCTTACAGTTAGGGGCTTTATTGAATATTTATAGTACCTAAGCAGGACCTTTTTTAAATTGAAATTTTAGTTTTATCTACACAAGCATTCATGCTGATGGCAGCGTGGGTCAATTACGCTTTACTGCACAAATTATATTGTTTCACTTAATTGAATATTCGTGAAAACACAACATCGCGCATTTGCATTTTCGATATTATTATAGTCTGCTTTCAGACTATAGTCTTCGCGCTCTAGTCGCTAGCACAATTGTCATTTCCACTCAAGTATGGAATGCCATAGCTACTTAAGCTACGATTAGGAATCAACCCAAAACATATACAAAAAGCACATCCAAATAAATGAGAAATATATATAACCATCGAGTTAAATAAAATCTTTTACAAAAACGTAGCTGGAACTATGATTATTTTATAAAAGAAACGCCGTGCAAAAGCACGTAGCAGTTAAAGTAAAAAAATTGCGTGCAATTTAAAAATATCAAGCAAGTAAGGAATTCGTAATATTTGCACCATTATGCTGAAACATTCAACTTGTAGCTTAACCATTTGTCTCTGAATTTGGTTTTATTCTATAATTAATTTTCATTGAATCTGCGTAATATGCATATTATGTAAATAAAGCTATTCCTAATGTATTCAATCGGTGATATATGAATAGAATGAATAGATTTACGAACTGTAATTGTAATTAATTATAAGAATAGCAGGGTTTGTTTCATTAATCACTGCCTGACAAAATTGTTACACTAATATGTGGTAAGGTACTTACAAGTTTCTGAAAGTAGTTTTAATGTTACTAAGGTTATTTCGCGACATTGGCGTCCACTAACCTAAATTGAGCTATAACACAAAGCTATTACAGCACAAAAGACGCCATAAATCTTTGTGGAGGTAAATATTTCAGTTAACATAATTTTATACGAGCAATTTCCTAATATAGTGATAGTCTAGTGGAGTGAACGCTAGTCTGCAATATAGGCACCAATTAATTTCATTGCTATTTACTAATTACATCTTCGATATAATATTATAAGAAAACGCAGTACTGAAACTCAAAAGAGAACGGAGAAGGTATACAAAATTCTTACCAGGTTTCGATAACCAATCCGTTATGCCCGAACCAGATACCTCCTACCTCTAAGGAGAGGGGTACTGCTTCTCCTTACAGGTAGCAGGTTTTTTATAACCACAAGTGACGGGACGAAAAAGTCGTGCGCCTATAGTAAGCTACACGCCTGTCCATAACAGTTGCAGTGCCACTCAGAGCTTTAAATCGCAAAGATCTGAGGGGCACTGCCACTGCGCCCGTCTCTCCGAGACATAAGTTCACAAGTCCCATATGCCTGTAATTTCATCAGGAATAGGTAAGGTGGCAATACTTCACTGGACGAACTCTTTCACAAGAATTTCTACTGCTAAAATAAAAGAAGACTCGAGTAATTTGGTAAATAATCCTACTAACTCGATAACGTGGGTGTTACCTGTGCTGAGCCTTTACAATGATGCCGCGTGATTACAAAAGACCAGTGAATCAATAGCGAAATTCCCAAAAGTGCAGTGTCGAAATTAAGGTTCATCAATGTAACGTTTTAGAGAACCCTCTCGCTCAATCGCTGCAGCGAAATGGTCATATCCTAAATAAGTTTTAAAGCAAACCTATGGAACTTGTAACACTTTTTATTAATTAAATCTTATAATAGGACACAAATTGCTTTTTTAAACCTCTTTCCGGCTAGTTCCGTAAAATGTATGTAAAGTTTGTGAATCAAATAGGTGTTGACGGCTCACCGGATTATTAAACGCAAGTTCTTTTATACCACGTAAACGAAGTGACGAGCGTCCAAAGACGAAACACGCAACGTAACGTAAGTTTATTGTTGTTTATTAACGTTTATCCTAAGCAAGCTAAACATTGTCAGCAAAACAAGGGAGTAGAGGAAAGTAGGAAACAAGTTTGGCGAATTCCGCATTTAATTTCGGGTCGCGGATTTGTCCGGCTCAGCGACGAACATCTTTGCTTTGTCAGTGAGTAACAGGATTACGGTATGAAGGAATCTCTACGAAGTCGCGATCTGAAGATTTTTGATGTATTAATGTTTGAGTAATGTTGACGTATGCATGAGGATGCCATGCTATTATTGAGTAAATCTGTAAACACATTTACGGAGAAAATAGTAACGAAATATACTCAAATAGGTTTTGTAAACAGTTTCACCGGGTGTAATCGTTGATATGCATCGAAAAATATTACCACAATATGAATATTACGTTTTCACGATATCGCCATGTCTGAGGTCCTGAGTTCGATTCTCGGCCGGGTTATTGTAAGAAAACTAACTTTTCTATATTGTCTCTGTGTAGAAACACAAAACCTAGAAAGGTTTACGTGTTTATAGTGCCGTCGTTGTTGTTTTCGAATACTATAACACGAGTGCTTTAGTTACTTAATTTGGGATCAACGCATGTGAAGTTGTCGAATATTTATTCATTTATATATTAAATATTGATTTGATTGAATATCAAGATATTTTACCAGCGTGATATTCCTATATTGTTGTGAAAAAACTCCATTAGTTTCTTATTATTGTTTATACAAAGATCGGACACAAAGGAAAAATCCTACGGCTTGCAGGATGACGTCACGACGTTCTATCAGGCAAACAGTTATTCTAGTAGTAGGCAAGAATCATTCGTTGTGTTCGATATTTGTATAAATAATTATGAATATTACACTTGTTGTTATTACAAATTTAAAATCTTTATTTTTCTGATAATAAAGATGGCAGTAGGTATAGCAAAATGTTGGTTACAATAAACACGCCCTGACACATTCAGCGGAGCACTAATTAAATCACAAAATAATTTAGTGTATTTCAAAAGTCTAATTTGAAATTTAAAAAAAAACTATCGATTGTAATTTTTTTATCATTTATTTGTAAAACAATTCCTACTAAAGTGTGTTCCAATCCATTTTAAGCAAAACGTAAACAAAACTGTTTGGTTAAAATTCTAAAGCAATCACTCAATAAATCGAATAAGTAACACTTTCACGTA